CTGAGTAGCTCTTACAGGCACGCACCAGCCAACTGGGCCTAATTGTTTAAATTTCTTTTTCTATTTTTTTTTTTTTTTTGAGACAGATCTCGCTCTGTGGGCCACAGGCTGGAGTGCCAGGGCCGGACTCTCAGCCTCACTGCCAAGCCTCCGCCTCCCGGGTTCACCGCCATTCTCCTGCTCAAGCGTCCCGAGTAGCGGGACTACAGGCGCCCGCCGCCTTGCCGGCTAGTTTTTTTTGCATTTTTTAGTAGAGACGCGGGTTTCACCGTGTACCAGGATAGGTCTCGATGTCCTGACCTCGTGAATATGATCCGCCCGTCTCGGCCTCCCAAAGTGCTGGGATTACAGGCTTGAGCCACCGCGCCCGGCCTAATTTTTTAATTTCTAAAATTTTGTACAGATAGGGATCTCCCTGTGTTGCCCAGGCTGGTCTTGAACTCCTGGCTTCAAGTGATCCTCTTGCCTTGGCCTCCCAAAGTGCTGGAATTACAGGCATGAGCCATTGTGCCCAGCCTAAAAGCATTTTTGTTTTATTTTTATCTAGCATTTCTAGGTTTAGCAGAAAGTGTGTCTCGTTGTGCTTGTCTCCTAGGGAGCCAAGTTCACATCTGATCCTGGAAGCCTGTCGGGCGGAGCGGCCACTCTCCAGCTGGGTCCCTTGTGCACTGAGGCTGGACTTTGCGCTCTCCCGTGTTGTGGTGCTACACGGTCTCTTAGGGGTTGTTAGTCATATTCTTTCTTGCCGTCTTAAGCCTTTTTGTTAAATAGAGATACTCATTCTTAACAATCTTAACGTGCTCATTTTCCTAAGATCTTCCCCATTGTCATTCCCTCCTGTCATCTCTCTGTGTCAGAATATTCCGTAGAATGTCTTTGATGAAAATGGTTACAAGGTGGTCAAGGCTTGAGGGGCCAGCCTATCAGTCCTTCTACCCTTTGGTTTCTGTATGAGTCTTGAGATCAGGCAAGTATCCAGTAGAGATCGAGATATTAGCTTTGTTACCGAGAAAGGATTGGAGAGCTCTGACTTGAGGCCAAAACAGATTTCCTGCTGCCCCTCCCTTTCTGGTGGTGGACAGGATACCTGCTGGCCAGGGGCAGAGCTGGCAGGCCCCGAGGTCCTGCAGCCCGTGAGTGGCTGCCCCTCTCCCATTGCTGCCCACAAGCAAGTCTTTGCCCCCATGGGCTGGGAGGGAGGGCGGGGGATGCCAGGTGTTGCCTCAGGAGTACTGGGGCATCATTTCCTGGGCTGAGGTAGAAATGAGGGAGAGTGCTTCCTATTGAAGCTAGTGAGAAGGGCATCCTGTCCTTGAATTCAATAGATTCCAGGCTATTCTATATGACTTTGATATCAAAATATTGTATGGTGGGTTCTTCCAAAGTTCATTGTTGGAGCTCCTGGAATTAGGATGTGGCTCAGGAAGGACCATAAATAGAAGATACGGAGTTTTTTTCTTTTTTGAGATGGAGTATCACTGTGTTGCCCAGGCTGGAGTATAGTGGTGCGATCTTGGCTCCCTGCAACCTCCACTTCCCGGGCTCAAGCGATTCTCCTGCCTCAGCCTCCCAAGTAGCTGGGATTACAGGCGTGTGCCATCATACCCAGCTAATTTTTGTATTTTTAGTAGAGATGGGGTTTCTCCATGTTGGCCAGGCTGGTCTCAAACTCAGGTGATCCTCCCGTCCCGGCCTCCCAAAGTGCTGGGATTACAACTGTGAGCCAGTGCGCCTGGCTGGGACTTTTGAGCTGATCATGCACACAGTTTAGCTCCAGCCAGCATCCTTCCTGAGCTCCACTCCAGCTCAAGTCTTTTTCTGCCAGGTTCTCTTGGAAGGATCTGACAATGTAGTCCAGCCAGACTGGCTGCGGACGTGCACGGTCCGTGGGGCGCGGTGCTGCATGAAGTCAGCCTGGGTGGTGCTGGGAGCTGTGTGGGGCCGGCACCCCTACACTTAATGGCCTTGTGGTGGCCGGAAAACTGACAAAGACGGAGAGGACTCTGGGGGCTTCAAGAGAGTGGGATCTGACCTTTCAGGGATTAGGAGAGGCCCTTGAAATTTTGATAAAGCCTTCTTTTTATTTATTTATATTTTTTCAAAATGGACCCCTTTAACATTGTGTTATAAATCTCCAGAGTAAAGGATGTATTATCTTGTTACATGAATTGTGTCCAGAAAAATGTAGCCCTTCCCCAAAAATGAATTAGTATATGTTTAGTTGTAGCTTAAGTTTTGTTCAATATTAAAATTAAAAAATTAGTGTTAGGACTTTTTTTCTAAGATAAAATCTGAATAAAACCTTTTTTCACGGATTACAATGACATTTTTGTTTCCATTGAGATTGCATTTACTGACGTGGCCTTTCTCTAATGCCACTTATTCTTGGGTAACAAGCCCCTCTGGGGTAAACCTGCAGTGGCTGCTGAGACAGTCTTATCCACACAGTCATTGGGACAAACCTGAAAGGGTCTGAAGTTGGCCTGACTGCCTCATGTCCACATAAGTGATGCATTTCTACCTGTCATAACCTGTGGCTTCTCCCCACAACCTGTGGCTCCCTGAAGACAAGCCTGGGAGCTGCACCCACCCCCTGGCTCTGCTAGCTACAGTCATACCCTTCGCTTTTTCAGCTTTAGGATGCTGAAAACCAAGATCTGTTTCAGTAGAGCTGTGAGGAAAGAGAACGTGGACGGAGAGTGTCCGCAGTGCTGTTGGGAGCACCCCCCGCTAGGGTGCCGGGGAGCAGGGCCCCCTCTCTACACGCAGGGCACTGGTTCCTCGGCCTCCTGCCGCCCCCAGCGAGCTAACGGCTGTGCTGTCCTCTAGGCCGTCATTTCCCTGATGGAGATGGGATTCGACGAGAAGGAGGTGATAGACGCCCTCAGAGTGAACAACAACCAACAGAATGCCGCGGTGAGTGTCGGGCTGTGGTGAGTGAGTGTTAGGCTGTGGTCAGTGTTGGGCTGTAGTGAGTGAGTGTCGACTGTGATGAGTGAGTGTCGGGCTGTGGTGAGTGTTGGGCTGTAGTGAGTGTCGACTGTAGTGAGTGAGTGTTGGGCTGTGGTGTGTCGGGCTGTGGTGAGTGAGTGTTGGGCTGTAGTGAGTGTCGACTGTAGTGAGTGAGTGTCGGGCTGTGGTGAGTGTTGGGCTGTAGTGAATGAGTGTCGGCTGTAGTGAGTGAGTGTCAGGCTGGGTGAGTGCTGGGAGCCTCACTCATGAGTGCCCCGGGCATGGTAGAGGCTGTGTGTTTCCCTACTCTCATATGCAGCCGGCTATGTGGCTCTTTAAGTGAGACAATAGGATAGATGGCACAAACGGTATAAAAATGTAAAAATACAGAATTCTAGGCTTTGTCTTTTTAAAAGGGTGCCTTATATGTACATATTTTATGGATGAGTAATTTGTTCATTTATCTTTTTTTTTCTTAATTTTTTTGGAGTCAGGGTCTCACTCTGTCCCCCAGGCTGGAATGCAGCAGTGTGATCACACTCACTGCAGCCTCGACCTCCTGGGCTCAAGTGATCTTCCCACCTCAGCCTCCTGAGTAGCTGGGACCACAGGCATGCACCACCATGCCTGGCTAATTGATTTTAGTTTTTTAGAGACGAGATCTCCCTTTGTTGCCCAGGCCGATCTTGAATTCCTGGCTTCGATCGATCCTCCTGCTTTGGCTTCTGAAGTGCTGGGATTACATGCATGAGCCACCACACCCAGCCCATTTATCTGATTAAACTGACTCTAAGAATGATTCCTGTCCTGTGCCCGTGTGCCAGCTGGGCTGATGGAGCTGTGCCTGGGGAGGGCCCTGTGGTGGCCGACACCCCCCCACCATCCCTCCTGCCAGTGGAATTGGTGGCTCACCCCTCCAAGACAGAGATGAGGAGCCTGTGTCCTCATGGTTCCAGCACTACTGACTGCCCATAACAGGACCACAGGCAAGCTGGGCAATGGCAGCGTCTGCAGAGAAAAGCAGACTAGCTCTTCCTTCTCAGTCTGGCCTGGTCTGATGTGCACAGCAGTGAATCCAGACTGGGCTTGTCTTCATGGTAGGGTCCCTTCCAGTGAGATCAGCCTCGGGGGCTCAATAGAAAAGTGCAGGAGCCGTTGTGCCTGCTGCGGGTGGCATCTTGCGGAGGCACTGAAGGCGCTAACAGTGGCATTGGTGCTCTTGGCTTTGCAGTGCGAGTGGCTGCTGGGGGACCGGAAGCCCTCTCCGGAGGAACTGGACAAGGGCATCGACCCCGACAGTCCTCTCTTTCAGGCCATCCTGGATAACCCAGTGGTGCAGCTGGGCCTCACCAACCCAAAAACATTGCTAGGTATGTGCGCCTTCTTTACGCTAAGTCGCGGGTCGGGGAGGCTGGCTGGTTCCCTTGTAGGATGTGCAGGTGCTGTGGAGGCGACGCGGAGGATCCAGCGCTGAGGATCGCCGTGCGCTGGCAGCACGTCCTGCCATGCAGGTTAGCATCCTGCGGGTGTAGCTCTGCTACGTCACCATGGAGCCCACAGGTCAGGTTCTGATCGTGGTGTGACTGTCTCCTGCACGACGACTCTGACACAGGCTTCAGAAAACCAGTGCCAGTGGCTTTCCGAGGGCCAGCGGGGTGGAGACCACACCAGCAGCTTAGGAACTCCCATGAGAACAAGGCGCGGTGTGGGCTTTTGCTCTTACTGTTCCTCAGGGTCTTCAATGGCAATTGTTTATTTTTATTGTCAGATACCTACATGCAAAAGTACATATGATGTTGTAACTTTAAAGAAGGATAAAACTAATAGCCGTGTATCTGCCATTCAGCTCTGAGCCTGGGGTGCCTCTCCCCTGTGCACCTCATCCCTCCCTCCAGCCTGGCCGTCGCCGTGGCCGCGACTTACCTCTCTGCTTCCCTGTAGAGTTTTGCTGTATTTGTGTCTCCTCAAACAATCTCTCATTTGTTACTGCCTTTGTGTAAGTAGAATCACGTTTTAAGCAGGGCTCTGTGACTGACTGACTGTGTTCTTTGTGGGGGTTGTGGAGTATTTTGTTGATGGAAGGCACCAGGAATCCAGGGGTCATTGGGTTGTCTGCATGTGGTGCCACTCGCGATGTTCCCCCCGTTTTTTTTACTTTTTGAGACAGCGCCTTGCCTTGTCACCCAGGCTGGAGTGCAATGGCTTGATCTTGGCTCACTGCAACCTCCGCCTCCCAGGTTCAAGCAATTCTCCTGCCTCAGCCTCCTGAGAACCTGGGATTATAGGCGTGCATTACCACGCCTGGCTAATTTTTTGTATTTTAGTAGAAACGGGGTTTCCCATGTTGGCAGGCTTCGGTCATCGACACTCCTGGACCTCATTGATCCACCCGCCGTCGGCCTCCCTAAGTGCTGGGATTAGCAACTTGGTGTCCCTGGGAGGCCGAGTTCCGGGGATGTTGCGGAGCGCCTTGCACCCAAGCAGGCTGGAAGATGTCTCCTGGAGCGTCGGTGATGGCCATGCGCCTGGATCTTGAAGGCTGGCCTTCTTTCATGAAGCTGATTATTGGCGTCTGTAGAACCTCAGGCTCGTGAGAGATTGTCGCTCAGCGGTTTGGCCTTCCTTATCTCTTGGGCATTATTTCTCTTTCTTTTTTTTTTGAGGACGGAGGGTCTCGCTCTGTCGCCAGGGCTTGCCGAGGTGCAGTGACCAGATCTCAGGCTCACTGCAAGCTCCGCCTCCCGGGGTTGCCTCCATTTTTCCTGGGGCCTCAAAAAAAAAACCTTTTTTCCCGAGTGCTGGGACTACAGGCGGCCCGCCACCTCGCCCGGCTAGTTTTTTGTGTTTTTTAGTAGAGACGGGAGTTTCCACCATGTTAGCCTAGGATGGTCTTGATCTCCTGACTCGTGGATCCACCCGTCTCGCCTCCAAAGTGCTGGGATTACAGGTGTGAGCCACGCACCTGGCCCGGATTTTTTCTTATTCATTCAGAAAGTCCTCACCTCCTGGGGGTGCTGACCCTTTTCCATTTATTTGTGCTGCAGATGCGTTGTTCAGGTTTCGGCTTTTATTATACTCATGCTGATGGGCAGAATCCCATGTTTTGATGATCTTTCAGGGGTGGTTTTTTTAGGATGTGAAGCTTTAAAGAAAACTTGCCATGCGTGGGGTGTGGTGGCTCACGCCTTAACTCCCAGCATTTGGGAGGACCAGGGCAGTGTTGATCACGAGATCAGGAGTTCAAAACCAGCCTGGCAAGATGTGGAAACCCGTCCTACTAAAAATACAAAAATTAGCTGGGGTTGTGGCATGCACCTGTAATCCCCAGCTTACTCTGGAGCTGAGGCACAGGAATTGTTCAACTGGGGGGTCAGATGGTTGCAGGAGCCGAGATCGTGCCACTCCACTCCAGCCTGGGCGACAGAGCGAGACTCCATCTCAAAAAAAAAAAAGAAAAAAGAAAAAAGAAAACCCTCCTATCCCAAAGTCAGAAATGTTTTCCTTTTTTAAATTTTTTTCCAAATATTTTAAAAGTTTCTCTTATTTAAGTCCATAATCTACCTAGAAGTATGTGTGTGGTGTGAGGTAGGGATCTTCTTTGTACCCAAATTCTAAAACTTGAGAATGGACTTTTGTGAGTTTGTTTTTATTCTTAGTGATTCCTTTCACACTGAAAGCATATTCCTCCTAGCTCTCCAGCTGTTTGTATACCTTAGGATATTAGTGTGTGGTGCCTTGGGTTCTGTCCAAGAACTTTTTTTTTTTTTTTTCTAATAGATATAGACTCTTTCTCTGTCACCCAGGCTAGAGTGCAGTGATGGTGCCACTGTCCATGCAAGATCTGCCCCCAGCACACACACTTGCCCACCTCCATATCATAGACAAGACCTCCATTGTTTTAACTTGTATTCTTTTTGGTATTAGCAATGTTGAATACTTTTCTGTTGGTCATTGCATTTCTTCTTTTACATATTGTGTATGCATATCATCTATTTGTTTTCTTTCTTTTTTTGGAGACAGGGTCTTGCTTTGTCACCCAGGCTGGAGTGCAGTGGTGCAATCACAGCTCACTGCAGCCTTGACCTCCTGGGCTCAAGTCATCTTCCTGGGTAGTTACGACTACAGACACACACGACCATAGCCAGCTAATTTTGTTGTTGTTGTTGAGATGGGGTCTCTTTTTTTTTGCTCAGGCTAGTATTGAACTCCTGGCTTCAAGCAAGCCTCCCACCTCTGCCTTCTAGAGTGCTGGAATTACGGGCATGAGCCATTGCAACCGGCACATCTGTTTTTCTATTGCAATATTAATCCTGGAGCTTCCTTAATAGCTTCTTGGATGTTAAGCACATCTGCCTTTGTTGCGTGTTGTAAACGGTTTTTGCTCTCTAATTTTGTGTGGCATTTTCTGACATACAGAAGTTAGGATATAGAGAAGAAAGTCTTTCCTCAGGTTGGGCATGGTGGCTCATGCCTGTAGTCATAGCACTTTGGGAGGCTGAAGCAAGAGGATCACTTGAGTTCAGGAGTTCAAGACCAGTCTGGGTAACATAGCAGGACCTCCTCTCTACTAAAAAAAGCAAACAAACAAAAAAGCAAAATCAGCCAGGAGTGGTGGCACATGTGCCTGTAGTCCCTGCTACTCAGGGGACTGAGGTGGGAGGATCATTGAGTCCAGGAGTTCAAGACTGCGGTGAGCTGTGATCACGCCACTGCACTCCAGCCTGGGCAACAAAGCAAGTCGTTGTCTCCAAAAAAATTAAATTCTCAGATAAATAATCATCTGTGTGGTTTTTCATATTTAACTCTTTATCTTTTTGTTCAACTCTTTCATCCTTCCAGAATTTATTTTGCTGTTTTTGAGAGGAAATGGGAAATTAAGTTCCCCGCCCTGCGTGTGAAACAGCTGTTTCGTACCTTATAGTTTGTTCTCGTAGACATCAGGTTGTCATTGTCTTTCTGGGACTTTTTGTGAGATTTTTTTTTTTTTTTTTTTTTTTTTTGAGTGGAGTCTCGCTCTGTACCCAGGGTGGGGAGTGCAGTTGTGCACGATCTCGACTCACTGCAAGCTTCCGCCCTTCCAGGTTCATTGCCATTCTCTGCCTCAGCTCCTGAGTAGCTTGGGATATAGGCACGTGGGCACCATGGGCCCGGGATGTTTTTATATTTTTGTAGGACGGAGGTTTCACCGTGGTTAGGCCGGGATGGTCCGCTGTCCTGCCTTGTGGTCCCCTGGCTTGGCCTCCCCTAAGTTGTGGGATTACAGGGTGTGGCCACACACTGGCTTTTTCGAGGTTTTAGGAGGGCTTTTTGGGGGATTTTCTTTTTTTGTTTTTTTGGCAGCGTATCCGCTCTGTGGCTCAGGCTGGTGCAGATGGGCGGATCTAGCTCATGCAGCTCCGCCTCCGGGTTCACGCATAATCTGCTGCTCTCTAGTAGCTGGGATCGAGGGCGCCGCACCGGCGGCCGGGCTATTTTTGTTTTTTTTAGTAGGCCAGGGTTTCCACCGTGTTAGCCAGGATGGTCTCGATCTCCTGACCTTGTGATCGGAACGCCTTGGTCTCACCAAGTGCTGGGTTACAGGCATGCCACGCCTGGCTTATTCTCGGAAGGATTTTAAGTGGATTTTGGGGACTTTTAATAGAACACAGGGATTGTTTCAGGTGCCTGGGGGTTGTTTTCTGATCACGAACAGAGCCAAGTCGGGTTCACTCTGAGCTCTGTGCTCAGCCACGGGCTACTGGGCCGTGAGTGGCTGTGAACTCCTGTAGTGAGCACTGTCCCTGGAGCCTGTAGACCTGGGGCCACTTATGCTGAAGCGCATGCCTGTGTGTCAGGTCAGCATGGAGCCGTCGATCCTGCAGAGGGGCCGGCAGCCAGCAGAACGTGTGCTCCTTCACAGTGGGTGGAGTGGAGAGCTGTTTGCTAAAATCCACCTGTTGGGGGGAAACAGTTTTGTAAAGCTGTTAAAACCCAAGTTTTCATTTTGAAGAAGTGCTGTGTTGCATTTTAAACGCGCTGGTTTTTTAAAGAAGTAATTTTCTTAAGGCTGAGCATTACGTTTTTCCAGTTTGTTGTTAACTTTGCAACAGTGTCTTTGTGTGTCCTTTCTGCATCTGCTGACCTTCTCGGGGTGGGATTGGAAGTGGAGTTGTTGGGGGAGATGATTTTTGAGCCCTGGCAGCTGCCAGACAGCTGCCCAGAGTGTGGGTGCCATGAGCATGCACAGGCATGCTGCCCACCTGCCAGAATTGAGTGCATGATTGTTTGTGATCAGATCTGATTTGATGGGTGCATCTGGCAGAGTTGGGTGGGTTTCAGCCTGCGAGTGCACACTTAGCAGTGAGCTCTGTGTGGCCTTTGTATTGGAGACACACCCTCTTCGTTAGGAAGCTGCTGAAGAGGAAAGTCACGCCTGTGCCTGTTGGCTGAGTGGGGGCATGGGCACTCAGGCTGGCTCTGTTTTCCCCGCAGCATTTGAAGACATGCTAGAGAACCCGCTGAACAGCACCCAGTGGATGAATGATCCAGAAACGGGTCCCGTCATGCTGCAGATCTCTAGAATCTTCCAGACACTAAATCGCACGTAGGTGGCGCCGTCCCACTTGGCTGTCCGGCCACAGCAGCCCCCTGGCGCGGCCGGAGACTGGGCAGAGCGGACCTCACCTGAAACTCACCTTTGGCATCTCGGCCCTGGACTGTTAGAGGCGCCGCGGCTGCTCCCGCTCTCTGATCTTATTGCTTATAAACTTCGGTGACGGTCGTGTGTAAAGCCGTAATTTTAGCATCTGCCAGGTGTTTACAAAAAAGTGGTTGTCGTGCTGGGAAGTGGAGTGATGGCCTCCTCTCCAGTGCTCCTCTGGGCTCTTGAGTTGCTGCTTGAATTGCCCCGTAGACGTTTGCTCGGAGAGTCCACGTGTTATTTGACGGAGGTAGGTTTCAACCCAGAGTGTTAACGTCAAGCATGCTACTTTAGTCACTCACAGATGACTTTTCTTTAATAAAATCCCTTTTCCTATTTCCTATCTTGGTCTTTTCTTGGTGCCGCAGAAGCAGCCCATGCATCCCTGGGAGTCTGCATCCCCACGGCTCCGTGCTCGCTGCTCCCACCCGGAGTGTGCGCTGGGGCCACCGCAGCATGTGGGCGGTCTTGTGGCGTCGTTTGGTGGGCAAAGCCTCGTGTTGTATTGGATTTAAGGGACTGGAGCTGAGCCCGTATTCCCGGGACACAGGTGCTGGGCCTGAGCACGGCAGCCCCTGCCTGCCTCTGGCCTCCTCCTTTTTTTTTGTTTTAAAAAACGTTACCATTACTTGTGTCTTAAAGTGAGAAAATGAGTTTTGTTTGTTGTGAAGCCTGCTCGTTGTTGTTGGAAGCAGTCAGTTCCGAGCTGTTTGTTTTGAACTTCTCTTCTGAACCAGCCCCTCCTCTTTCCGCTTCCCTGCCCACTGGTGTGGGAACCTTAGCAGAGCTTGGCTGTATTTTGAGCTCAGTAAGAATGTTTTCAGAAAATGTTTCTCTTCACACGTCTAGGTTTCTTTCATTGTTTTTGAGGTTTAGATTTAAAACTAAAGTTAGTTTAAACTCTTTGGGCAGAAATACTAAAAATGCTTTTCGAAAAGTTGCGAATCTCACTTCTTTTTTTTTTTTTTTTTTTTGAGACAGAATCTCGCTCTGTCGCCCAGGCTGGAGTGCAGTGGTGTGGATATTGGCTCACTGCAAGCTCCACCTCCCGGGTTCACGCCATTCTCCTGCCTAGTCCCGAATAGCTGGGACTACAGGCGCCTGCCACCATGCCTGGCTAGTTTTTTGTATTTTTAGTAGAGATGGGGTTTCACCGTGTTAGCCAGGATGGTCTTGATCTCCTGACCTCGTATCTGCCCATTCTTGGCCTCCCAAAGTGCTGGGATTACAGGTGTGAGCCACTGTGCCCAGCCCACAAATCTCACTTCTTTTTTTTTTTTCTTTGAGACGGAGTCTTGCTCTGTCGCCCAGGCTGGAGTGCAGTGGCGCTATCTCGGCTCACTGCAAACTCCACCTCCCGGGTTCACGCCATTCTCCTGCCTCAGCCTCCCAAGTAGCTGGACTACAGCGCCCGCCACCACGCCCGGCTGCTAATTTTTTTTTTTTTTTTTTTTTTTTTTTGAGACAGAGTCTGGGCTCTGTCACCCGGGCTGGAGTGCAGTGGCCGGATCTCAGCTCACTGCAAGCTCCGCCCCCCGGGTTTACTCCATTCCTCCTGCCTCCAGCCTCCCCGAGTAGCTGGGACTACAGGCGCCCGCCGCCCCGCCGGCTAGTTTTTTGTATTTTTTTAGTAGAGACGGGGTTTCACCGTGTTCGCCAGGATGGTCTCTATCTCCTGACCTGGTGATTCGCCCCGTCTCGGCTCCCAAAGTGCTGGGATTACAGGCTTGAGCCACCGCGCCCAGCCATCAGCTAATTTTTTGTATTTTTCGTAGAGACGGCGGTTTTTTGAGATAGTCTCACTCTGTTGCCCAGGTGGAGTGCAGTAACTTTGATCTTGCTTACTGCAACCGTCCCATCTCCTCAGGTCTCGAAGCGTGATTCTCGAACCTTTAACCCTTCCCGAGTAGTGGGTATACAGATGGCTACGGCCACAACGTCTGAAAATTTTTTTTTTTTTTTTTTTTTTTTTAGATGGAAGCTCTTCACTGTTATGTCCAGGCTAGAGTGAAGGTGGCGTGATCTTGACTTTTATTGCAACCTCCACCCTGGGCTCAAGCCAATTCTTCCTGCCTCAGCCTCCCCAGTAGCTTGGTATTTATATGGCACCCACCACTACGCTCACTAAGTTTTGCTATTTTAGTAGAGACTGTTATTTCGGTTTCCGCCATGGGTTGGCCAGGCTGGGTCTCGGAAACTCCTGCTCAAGTGATCCAACTACCTCTTGCCTTCAAAGTTGCTGGATTACAGGCATGAGCCCACTAGGCCTTGGCCTGTGTTTTCTTTTTTTTTTTTTTTTTCTTTTTTTTCCTGGACGGAAGTCTCTGTTCTCCCAGGCTGGAGTGGCGGTGGCAACTTGTCTCAGCTCACTCTAGGCAAACCTCTGCCTCTTGAGTTCAAGCATGTTCTCCTGCCTCCAGCTCTTGGTAGCTGGATTACAGGCGTGCGCACCACGCAGCAGCTAATTTCTTGTATTTTTAGTAGAGACAGGGTTTTACCATGTTGGCCTGCTGGTCTGGAACTCCTGACCTCATGATCCGCCTGCCCTCAGGCCTCCAAAGTGGTGGATTCAGGCGTGAGTCACCGACGCGGGCCTGTGTTTTGTTTTTGAATGACAACTTAAATCTTTTATTCTGCACCAATTCAAATACATAGTTCAATAGGTTCCTATCTGTTTTCTTTCCTGCTCCTGCTTCCCACACTGATCTGAATTGCCCCCATCCTGAAGCTGTGGCCGGGCCCTGGGCTTACAGACTTCCCCATGCACAGTAAAACCTTAATAGCACGGCCCTTGGACAGGTTTGCCGGGGCTCCTGTGTTTCCATTCTATCCTCTACAGAAAAGCCAAAGCCCCCAGTTGGAATGTCCGCCGTGCTGGCTGGCCCGACGCGTACATCCCAGCCTGGACAAGGGTGGTGCACGGTAACGGAGTCACCCCATCGGCGCTTCACACGAATGCATGTCTCCCGCTTAGGATGCTTCCGAGGCCGACGTGAGGTGGCTCATGCCTGGATCCCAGCACTTTGGAGGCCAGAGGATCAGCAGAGGGATGCTTGACAAGCCCAGGTTCGAGACTTAGCCTGGAACGTAGTGAGGACCCTGTTTCTACCAAAACATGCAAAAATTAGGCAGGGCAAGCGATATGTACCTGTAGTCCCAGCCTACTCGGGGTGAGGCTGCAGACGCATGGCAATCACTTGAAGCCCAGGAGGTCAAGGCTGCAGAAACCGTGATCTGGGCCACTGCACTCGCAGCCTGGCAGCCCAGAGCAAGGCCCTGTCTCAGGAGATCCCTCAGTAAGAAAGCCCTACTTGGGGCAGGTGTGGTGGCTCATGCTTATGAATCCCAGCACCGTAGGAGGCCAAGCGTGCGGAGGATCGCCTGAGCGTTGGGAGGTTTGAGACCAGGGGCTGTGGTAACATAGTGAGACCTCGCTACAAAAAAAAACAAAAAATTAGCGCCACGGTGGTGGTGTTGCATACCTATAGTCTCAGCTGCTCGGGAGGCTGAGGTTGGGAGGATTGCTTAAGCCTGGGAGGTTGGAGCTGCAGTGAGTTGAGATTGTGTCACTGCACTACAGCCTGGGCGACAGAGCAAGACCCTATCTCAAAAAAAGAAAAGCCTCTTGGTGCCTGTCAGCGTAGCCGTATTCATTTTGGTTGTGCTCCTGTGCCTTTACGACTCCTGGAAAGAGGCAGGAGCCGTTGGCCTCGAGGGGCTTCCCGCATGCCTGCTTCCTTCCCATGTTGCTCTTGGGTTTGAGGGAGGGGACAGGACGGCCCCCGGGTGCTTGCGCTGGCTCCCCACGGGCTCCTGCTCTTGAGGCCGGTTTCCTTTCCCGTCTGGGGACCCGGAGCTGTGGCCGCCCCAGATGGGTGGGGTTCTGTCAAGCGGGTGGCAGCCACAGCTTCGTGTCTCGTGGTTAGGACCTGAGGTCAAGTTGCCTTCATGGGCCTCGCTCGGATTCGCCTGCTGTGCCAGCTGCCTCTGCTATTGACAGCACTCGGCCTTGACCCGGGCCACGCTCAGCGGAGCAGCCTCCAGAGCCCGCCCTGTGGATCGCAGCCCCTCGTCTGCAGCGGCTCCTGCTGCAGTGGGACCTCTGCTTCGTGGCAGCCTCACTCGGGTGGCAGCCTCAGTTGGGTGGCAGCCTCACTCG